TCGCAATTGTAAACACTAATGGCTTCAGCCGACAAGGTGGCTTCTCTCAGCCGACCGGCATGGGCCGGTAGCTCGTTACGCGTGATGGAGGCAGGCCTGATGCGCGGTCTGAAAATATTGCTTTCCGGCAGGGTCGGAAATCAAAGCCAATAAGAAGCTGCTGCGGCAGGCTACGATCCTCAGAGCCAATCTTATCGACCAGAAACTTCAACATGGCCGGCCTCTTTGCACTTAGTGTCTCCCTGCAATGCTCGGGCGCGGCCGCACACAATCTTGCATCCTCTGCTCGCAGATCCAATGCTTTAAAGGCCCAGCGTCAAATTTTTTCCAAAGCACACACTGCAGCCGTGTCCGCACCCACCACATCTGAGAGGTCACCCGGCAACAACTGTACCAAATCCCGGAATTGCTTGCGCCACGCTGCTTGATGCACATCGGGTGTCCATGGCATGTTGAAAATCTGGAGAGCTATTTTGTCGCTTCGGGTTTCTTTTCCCTTGTGTTTGGAGCGTGTTGTAAATCGAACTACGCGTTGGCCGTTTTGCTCCTAGCCTTAACCCAAACCTGCGGTTTCATGTGAAACCCAAACGCCGCTGTGGACGCCTTGCTGTGCTTTGGAACGTGTCTCGCCCTTTGCACAGCTCTTGTGTCCGGCCTTACCTTGCCATTGGGTGTCTGTTGCGCCAGCACCACAAGGCTGGGATCAATGGGTTTTCAGCCGCCGCACCGCCCAGGGCTGTCTACATTCTGCCGAAACGCAAGTGTTTCATCATCGGCACTGCCACCACTTGGCACAGCGCGATGCCTTCGCCTTTCAACCGTGTGACAATTGTTTCAGCCTGTGGTGACGCACATGCAGCCGGCAGACGCCCTGCCCAGTGACAGCCTTGCCTTCAACGCCACCTGCTCATGTCAATAAAAATGCCGCGGTCATGGCACGGATCCAGCCCACTTTGCACCTTGTCTCAGTGCACTTGATTGGCAACCTTGCACAGCCTTGGTCATTGATCCAGAACCGCATCCCTCGGCTGCTGCCGCCTTTCAGAAGAGATGGCAGAAGACCACCCGGCCTTCAGCCCGCACCGGTTGTCAGGCCCTCGGGCGCACGTCCTGCAACTGCCGCCAAAACTACATTGCCGGGAACGCCTTGCTCCAGGCTTTCAGTGGCAAATGTGCTCAGTTCCGGAGTGCGTTCCATCAAGGTCCTGGGTGGACCCTTTTTCTTGCGCCCTGCAGGCCTTGGCCTTGCAGTTTAGCCTTGCAGACACATCGGCCAAGACCGCACAGGTCAGGTTCGATCCCTGCTTAGCCCGCCAAGGCCAAGAAAACCAAGCTTGCGGCGGAGTTGGCAAACGGCAGGCTTGCGATGATGGCCATCATCGGCATGTTCTTTCAAGACGGTCTGACAGGAAGCGCCTGGGGTGACTGGGCCAACTACACCGCCTCGCCGCTGCGCGCCTTCGAGAATGAGCTTGGAGTCCAGACGCAAAGTGACTTTTGGGTATCTAGCATCTCCGCGTGATTGCGACTGTTGAGGATTGCCTTGCGGTTTGATCACTATAGCGACTGAACATGATCAGCAGTAATTCAAATATGTTGTATGTACAGTATATACATATACACACTGACTTGCACTTGCTTTTGAGTTGCTGTTGCAGGAAAGTTGATTCACTTCGTCGGGTTTTTGATATGGGAAAGACCAATTAAAGATAATATAGACTATGTACGTCAACAAATGTACATGCTGCGAGGCGTAGTGTTCAAGATGTTGCATGTTTAAGTTTGAGGGTTGCGCAAGGATAACATGAGATGACACCATGCCTAGCACACTGGAGATAGTCAAATGAAGTCATGTTATGTTTCCATTTCATATAGGCATTCATATGAGTGTTAGATTGGTTGGTGGCATGCAGGTATCCCATTGTATCGGAGCATAGGGTTTGGGTTGATTTGATACACCGACACCAGGTGGCTACTGATTTCACTTAATTCAATTCACATTTTTGGGACAGTCAAAGAAGTGATTAAGTGTTATTGATACATGCACAAACATTCAATCTTTCACAAGTTGCAAGAAGGTTTTGTGGGCAGGCTTCCTGTGGGATTCTGGAGGATCCGGCCCGGAATTTACGGGGATGCTGTGAGCACCGAGAGATGAGAAACATTGGCGCGGCAGACGTCCAGACGCGAGTGTTGAAGCAGTGTCGGGAAGGGGGGGAAAGGAGGGGAAATCTTCCCATGCTCGATGCTTGGTCAACGTTTGGTAAGACCTTACATCTTTGCGAAATAGTAGGATCCCGAAGATATGAACATTTGAACTTTGAGCATGTTTATTCTGGCAAGTATGTTTGTGATTGAACATTGAGCAAGGCAACCATGGGCTACATCACCCCTGAGATCACTGGCAAATTCCCTGGGTACCTTTCTCCTTCGGCTGGCCTGAAGTTTGCGGATGTCCCCAACGGACTTGCTGCAATTTCGAAAGTTCCCGCTGCTGGGTGGGGTCAGATCTTGGCCTACATGGCCTTCTGCGAGGTGTCCCAGGACCAGTCGGCTGGAACTCCTGCTGCGGCGGGCGACTTCGGATTCAAGGTGCTCACCGCATCCGACCCCGAGGCCAAGAAAACCAAGCTCGCGGCGGAGTTGGCAAACGGCAGGCTTGCGATGATGGCCATCATCGGCATGTTCTTTCAAGACGGTCTGACAGGAAGCGCCTGGGGTGACTGGGCCAACTACACCGCCTCGCCGCTGCGCGCCTTCGAGAATGAGCTTGGGGTCCAGGCGCAAAGTGACTTTTGGGTATCTAGCATCTCCGCGTGATTGCGACTGTTGAGGATCTACTTTCAATGGTTGCCTTGCAGTTTGATCACTATAGCGACTGAACATGATCAGCAGTAATTCAAATATGTTGTATGTACAGTATATACATACACACTGACTTGCACTTGCTTTTGAGTTGCTGTTGCAGGAAAGTTGATTCACTTCGGGTTTTTGATATGGGAAAGACCAATTAAAGATGATATAGACTATGTACGTCAACAAATGTACATGCTGCGAGGCGTAGTGTTCAAGATGTTGCATGTTTAAGTTTGAGGGTTGCGCAAGGATAACATGAGATGACACCATGCCTAGCACACTGGAGATAGTCAAATGAAGTCATGTTATGTTTCCATTTCATATAGGCATTCATATGAGTGTTAGATTGGTTGGTGGCATGCAGGTATCCCATTGTATCGCAGCATGGGTTGATACACAGACACCAAGGTGGCATGACTTTCACCTTAATTCAATCACATTTTGCGGACAGTCAAAGAAGTGTATTGATACATGCACAAACTTCAATCTTTCACAGTGCAAGAGTTTTGTGGCAGGCTCCTGTGGGATTCTGGGATCCCGCCGGTTTTACGGCGGATGGCAGCACCGAGAACTTTGCGCGCAGACGCCAGACGGAGTTGAAGCACGGCCGAATCTCCATGCTCGATGCTTGGTCAACGTTTGGTAAGACCTTACATCTTTGCGAAATAGTAGGATCCCGAAGATATGAACATTTGAACTTTGAGCATGTTTATTCTGGCAAGTATGTTTGTGATTGAACATTGAGCAAGGCAACCATGGGCTACATCACCCCTGAGATCACCGGCAAATTCCCTGGGTAGGTGCTCGTGGTGGTAGGCCTCCACGTGGCCGAGCACTGGATGGGGCTCAGACTTATGGCAGTTGTTGTTGTTGTTGTTGTTGTTGTTGTTGTTGCTGGGTCCTTCTTCTTTTTCTTTTTTTTATCACGGCATGTGACATGACATGGGTCGGGTTCTGGTCACGCGATGACCCTTTAGACACGCGCACATGCCACACCCAGGCCGACGGATTTAGCCAAGCCTCAACCAACCTCATACTCCGCTAAGATCGGCGGAGCGTTGCCGCGTCGATTGAGCTTTCGAGACGGCCTTGCTGACTTTGGGGCAACGAGGATCCACCGACCACGGCGACCCACGCTGGGTTTTTTCATTTCGTCGAGTGCGTATCTGGCGCTCAAGATCGGTGCTGAAGGGTGTTGGGAACACCGGCCCCTAGGGCTGTTGTGTTGCCGCCCTGATGCACAGGGCTCGTCGTTCCGGACAGCTGTAAGGGCGGGCTGTCGGGAGAACAAGCGCACATAGGGCCTGTTTGTTCCGGGTACATCCTGCAACATCGCAGGCACGCCCCTGTGACTCCATCAGCCATATCAATCACGCACGGTCCGCATGCGTATTTGGCTCAACGGTAGACGCCGACAACCGGGACCATGACAGGCAGGAAGAGGAAACTACTGGCGCGTCGAAGAAGGAACCGCAAGCTGGCAATCTTCTTAAGATACCGACGACAGCGATCCAACGGACGAGGGATCGGACCACGGAAGAGACACACCTGGAAAGTAGGCGCATGGAACGTACGTCGATGGGGCGCAACCAACACTCCGTACGATCCTTTCACCAAAACAGCAGCGTTGTTTCAGGTAGTGAACGCACGCAAGTGGGACGCAGTACTGCTCACCGACGTGACATTCCACCGTGACGGAACACACGACTTGTGGGTAGATGGCCACAAGTGGAAACTGGTCGTGGAGGGCAAGGTGGCCATAGCCATGGGCGAGGCCATGGGCCAGAGATGGGAAGCCGGCGGGGCACGCAGCTTTAAGAGCCGACCTGGTCAGGGCCGGGTCTTGGGACTGCACTTCCCCAGGCAGGGCCGCAGGAAGGGCCTCATGCTGATAGTGTGCTACGCACCTATTTCATCGGCGCGACGAACGGACCGACAGGAGTTTTTGCGGCAGGTGACTGAGGTGAAAGCCCGTACGCCAGGAGGGGACTGGCTGATAGTTGGAGGGGACTTCAACGCGGAGATCGGTGCAAACCAAGCTCAACACTACCCGACGGTGATGGGACAGTTCGGCAGCGGGTCAACCAGCAGAACAGGACCAGAGCTACTGGAATGGTGCCAACAGGAAGGGCTGGTAATCATCGACAGTCGCTTTCAGCAACCACTAGCCAAAAAGTACACCTGGTGGCACCCGAGCAACGGGACGGGTCATGTGCTGGATCATTTCCTTATGCCAGGTAGCCAAGTCAAGTACAGGGTAGGCGAGGTAACGCAGGAGAGCCGCTTCGGCGACCGCGCAGAGTAGGAAATGGAGGGGGTGAGGACCACTGGGATGACTACACGGACCACCTTCCCATAGAGCTCACATGGCACTACTGGCACCGGTGGCAACCACGCAGGGAAGCGCCGCAATCAGTCAACAAACCCAATGTACAGATCTTAGCGAAACCGGGTCGCGAGGCTCGCGAAGCCAAGCGTAAGTGGCACGAGACCTTGGACGCAGCGATAATACGCGAGGAAGGAGACCGACGACAGTTGGCTTGGGAGAAGCTGGTGGAGATCTGCCTACAGACCAGCATGGAAATCTTGGGGCCTGTCCCTCCTACCAGGAAAAGGCCGCATCTAGTCGGTCACACGGAGGAGAACCGACAACTGGATAGGGACGTTGCAGACGCAATGGCCAGGCTGCGACAGTTTCGAAGAGATGACGAGCTCAGGGATCCCCAACGACAGCAAGACTACGCACAGGCGCTGCGCGACAGCAGGGAAGCTTCGAAGCGCAGGAAGCTAACGCGACGAAGATGGAAATGGGAATGGATCGACGGACTTACGGATGAACTCACCACAGCGGCTGGCCAAGGCGATACCAGAAGGGTCTATGCCGTTCATCGCGAACTAGGCCTTCGAGACGAACGACTCCGCACACAGGTCGCCCAGGCAACGGTAGCGCAGCCGGAAGCCGAGCGCGAGGCTTGGAAAGAACACTTTCGGCAACTGCAAGAGGGCAGAGAGTGGGCAGTGGACCACGTGTGGGCGAACGTGAAGCCCGAGGCGGCGGCGCCGTACCGATGGATGGGGGAGCCGCCCACAGATGAGGAAATCGAGGCCTGCGGACAGCGGATGAAGAACGCCAAGGCTGCAGGAGCCGACGGGTTCGTGGCGGAATTCTACAAGTTGGGCAGCCCGGCATTGCGGCGCCAGGTACACGGCCTAGTACGAGCAGCGTGGGCCGAGGCGTGTAGCGCCCTGGATGGCGAGGAGGGGGCCGGATGGCCGGAAGTCTGGAACCGTGGCATTGTGGTGCCCCTATGGAAGAAAAAAGGTGATCGGAGCAACAAGAACACGTGGAGAGGCATCTGTCTCCTTAGCGTTGGTAGCAAACTGCTGGCCAGAGTGGTGGCGCAACGGACGCAGCTGTGGAGCGACGGATGGTTGTCAGAGGAACAGGCCGGCTTTCGCAAGGGACGAGGAGTGGATGACGTACTACAGGTGACCCGGAGAATCACGGAAGAAGCCGCCACTACGAAACCATCGGATGACGTCATTTTGATCCGGCTCTTCGATATTTGGAAGGTACTCAGCATCGGAGCGCCGGACAACTTCATCAAAGTGTGCAAGGCCCTTCACGAAGCGACCCGCTATCAGGTTCGCATCCATGGCGGGGAGTCGCAGGAATACGAGGCGGACAAAGGGCTGCGCGAGGGCTGCCCATCCTCGCCGCCCCTGTTTAACGCGTATCATCAGGCGGTGTTGGAAGACTTCAGAATCAGACGAGCGCAGTCAGCAGACCAGGCCAATCAACATCCGGGCCTACCATGGATAGTTAAAGCAGACGGGAGGGTGCATCATGGCGTGCACAGTCGAGAACACCTATTTCGGAAAAGCAAGGAAGTAGTGTTGGGCGACATAGGCTTTGCTGACGACACATGTCTCATAGGTGAGGCAGAGGAGATGGCTCGCGCCGAGGTTCTGCTCGAGACCACCATGAGGGACTGGAGAGAGAAAGTACACCCGGGCAAGACCGAAGGATTGCGGATTGCGTCGACGCCACGGGCACCTTTTGACGTGCGACACAAAGGCGAGATGGAAACAGTGAGGCATGTGGGAGGAATGCTGCAAGACACAGCCAGCCGATACCAAGGCAAAGAAGGCCCAGGCATACTTGAAAATAGCAAAAACGGCCAAGGCGTGGCATTTTGGACATCAGCGCGGGCGAGCTCAGATGCCGCATAGCATCCGGGTCAAGATCATGAAGGCGGTCATCATGCCGACGCTCACATGTTTCGGCCGATCACGGGCGTGGAATCAGAACCAGGTCAAGCAGATGCAAAGGATCATCAACTGGGCGGTCCAACGTTGTCTGTTGGTACGTCACCGCTGGAAACGGGACAATCACGTCAACAACGCAATGCTCAACGAGCTGGTGCAGTGGGAGCCCTTCGAGACGACCATTGCCAGGCAGAGCCTGATATGGTTGGGACATGTGGCGAGAATGAACATTCGCAGATTGCCCAAGCAAGCCCTTTTCGGCTTCTGGCAAGGGCGCACAGCCAGACCAAACGCACCACGGGGACAGGCGCAGTGGCTACGCTACTTACTGGCGCAGATTCAGCAGTCGGAGTTGGACTGGTACAGAGTAGCGCAGAATCGAGACGAGTGGCGACAGGCGATACTTACGGAGTTTCCTCTCCCCAAGATAGATCATCGCCAGGAGATCCTGCTCAACCGGTGGTCGCCGAGCACGAACCAGTTCCCCGACTACGCGGGGCGCTTTGCCCGACAGAAACGCCACCGTAGCAGACACCTAGAAAAGCGAGCAGACACGGGCCAGTTTCACTGCCCGGTATGCGGGCAACCCTTTCCAAAGGCCAACACGCTGGTAGCACACTATGCTGCGCAACACGCCGTGTCCAATCCGGAGGTTATCACAGTTGCAACATACACATGCAGTGAGTGCAATCAGGTATGGCGCAGAGAGATAGACAGGCGCCAACACATTTGTCCAGTTCGACCAAGGCCAAAGCGGGCTCCGAAAGCGCAGCCCGCCCGACCATGCAGGCTATGTCACGCCCCGATCTGTGCGGCGAATCTGGAGCGCCATGAAGCCGGTTGTAGAGGGCCGGGCGCCGCCAACAGGACGTGCGCTAACCCGCGTTGCAATGCCATATTGGGGTCAGTGCAGGCGAGAAAAAATCATGAAGCGCGATGTCAGCTTTGACAAAGAAAGGAGGGCATGTTTCACGCATGATGTGTTCTTGTCGGTCGTTGCACGCACTCGCACACGCACACCACGCCCCCGGTTGTCGCGCTAGGCACGTCCTAAGCGTCCTTCGGGCAGTGCCGTCGGGTCACGAATCCGGCGGCGCGGACAACCGGGGGAGGGGAGGTCGGGACCAGGTCACGAACCGTGGGACCGACCGAACCATCTTTCGCATCGAGTTCTCGGCTCACAGCTGGTCTCACCCCAGGGTTGAAATAATCAGGCCATGACCTCGGAGCGTAAGAAAGCCGTCCAGGATATGCAGCGGAAGCTGGAGGTGCAAGAGCAAGAAATCGGCTACCTGCGTTCCCGAGTGGATCGGATCGAAAAAAGTACACAACTAGTGGTTGAGCGGTCTGAGGAGGTGGAAGAGTTATACAAACACGCGGAGGCCTCTCGCGAGTTCAAGACCTTGGCGCAGGACGGAGCGAACGGAGTTCTTCGCGAGCTGTCGCGGTTGACGGGACTTCCCTGGCCGCTGCCGGCGAGCACGCCATCCCAGTGGCAGGATATGAGTGATGAGACTCGCAAGCAAGATCTCCGCGCCGTGCAGGAGTGGTGGACTTGGTCTACAGCTCTCCTCTCAGGAACCAGGTTTGTGATGCCTAACAAGGCACGAAGCACACGTGTGGAAGCAACAGGACAGTATGAGCGGGCGGCGGGGCACTTCGTGTTCCGGATCGAATTCGGCGAGGGAAGCTTCCGGGTGCAGAGCGGGTTGCAAACACTGGGCAAAACCTTCGCTGAGGCAAGCCGGGCGGCCAGGGCAGCGAATCCGGAAGCCAATCCACCGATCAACCCGATCAACGTATTTGTCAACCGGACGCCAGAGGAGCTCAGGAAGAAGCGAGCCCGTGACGGGAAGAATGGTGACGGGAAAGGTAAGGGTTCCAAGGGAAAGGGCTCAGCGAAAGGCAAAGGCGGCCGCGGCCGCCAGCGCCAATAGATTTGGTGTCGAACGTGTTTCACCCTGATGGCAGTGTCGCTGTTGCGGTTCTAATAAACGAGTGTTTGTTAGTGCTGGGTATTTCCACCTCTTTTCTGCTTTACGGACTGCGGTGCTGTCGTCCCTTTTGCTCTAATTCAAAGTAGACCTCCTTCCAAGTTCATGTCGAGCTGATGGAAGGCGGGCTGCAGTTTTCCTTGAGCCTCGGATGCATTTACCTGCTCTGCGGGTAGGGCAGCCAAACCAAACGCCTGACCAACGAACGAACGAACAAATTCCCTGGGTACCTTTCTCCTTCGGCTGGCCTGAAGTTTGCGGATGTCCCCAACGGACTTGCTGCAATTTCGAAAGTTCCCGCTGCTGGGTGGGGTCAGATCTTGGCCTACATGGCCTTCTGCGAGGTGTCTCAGGACCAGTCGGCTGGAACTCCTGCTGCGGCGGGCGACTTCGGATTCAAGGTGCTCACCGCATCCGACCCCGAGGCCAAGAAAACCAAGCTCGCGGCGGAGTTGGCAAACGGCAGGCTTGCGATGATGGCCATCATCGGCATGTTCTTCCAGGCGCTGTGGCTGATGTCTGTGATGTTATTTCTTTGTGTTTGCTTCCAAGAGCGTTTAAAGGGGAAGGCAACTGAAAGCGAGTGCAATGTGAGTTGTTTCGAGCGACATGTTTGTACATGTCTAGGCTGTTGCGTGTGTGCATTGCTTGTTTGGAAGACGTTGGTGTTGCAGGATGGCCTCACGGGCAGCGCCTGGGGAGACTGGGCCAACTACACCGCCTCGCCTCTGCGCTAGAGGCGGGTTGGAAGTGTGCAAGCGAATGTTCACATCAGTCGGAGCAAGCTCCAAGCGCAATGGGACCGGCTTTGATGCAACTGCAGATGTTCACTTCTCACAGGGCCCCTTTCGAGAGCGCCATGTGACAGAGGCAGGTGAGTTGCATGGGGCCTCCTCTTTGCCTTTTTGGCGCGGTTGGGCAAGTGGGAGTGCACTTTGGTTCTGCAGTTTGGAGCCTACGGAGATTCGCGTTCTGAGTAACATCTAGTCCAGGAAGGGTTTCATGCGCGACATGCAAATGCTGGGCAGGTCCAAGGTCCTCGCTGGCACGACGGATGCGAGCGGCCAAAAATATCCGGTGCTTGGCGAGTTGGCGAGTGCGGGTTAGGCGACGAAGTTATCCTGATCGGTTTTCAATTTGTTTTCATATTGGGGAAGCCCCCTTTCATGATTTCTATCAGGAAACCGGCTCGCAGCTCATGGGCAAATGTGGGTGTACTGGCTATGGCACTGGAAGCTTTGAGTGTCATTGTTTGCTGCCACATGGGTGTTTCCAAACAAATGGGAAGCCCGCCTTTTTATGGTCTCAAAGGGACGCCAAAATACAGCAACCACTTCGATCCCGACAAGAACGTGTGGAACATTGAGTAAGTCCCTAAGACAAAGCCGGGATCAAGAAGCGGTGTGTGCCGAGTTCAAGAGACTTCGGAACAGTGACGGCACGTGTGCAGTGGCCAAACGGCTTGATATTGCGGTTGGACTAAGTCTTGGGCCTCATATGGTCATGAACTCTGGATCTCAAACGACCTGGGCGAAGGGAACCATGAGATCTCGGCATGTCCTCGTTTGGTTTCCTCAGGTTATGTGCGGTGAGCTCCCTAAGTGTGACATGCATGATGCAGAGGTTGTCTTTCGTCTCGATGGCGAACCTCTCATGGCTTCTCTGTATCTTTGCTTTCAGCAAAAACATGTGTATCACCTCAACCTTCGTGCTTGCCGGCGAATGACCAGCACTATTGTGTTCTTGTGTACCTCAGCTTTTCTACTTTTGAAGCGGTTGCTTGGGGGAGTTTGCATAGGCAGTGAACGCGGCGAGGATTCCTCCTTGGTTCCGATGAGCTTATGGCTTGCTTGGCTGTGACAGCAGCCAGCAGAAGTGATGCAAGAGGCAAACCTTGACAGGATTGACGCTGTTCTGAAGTAGTCGGTTGTATCCGGAGCGTGGCTTGTCTACCTGATTGTTATGACTCATATTTGCACCGGAACAAGTGCAAATGTCCATGCGTGGCGGAGCTGCATGAGTCTGGGATCAAGGGCGATGTGCACACGCAAGTCAGCATATCAAGTCATCTCATGGCCGACAAACCGCACGCCTGAATCAGAAGGCGGCGGCATTTTTTCCGAATCAACCCGGAGTTCCGCCCATCCCCGAAGCCATGTCCGGCCGAGGCGGGGCAGGGGGGGGGGGAAGGAAATGCATCTCTTTCCGGGCGGCTCCACGTTGGCCTCTTCAAGAGACACAGGATCACAGTTTTCATTGAACCTGTCATCCAAATAGGGTCTTCGGATGCACCGACGAGTTATGGCATTGGGCCATTTGCCCCACAGAGCTCGTGGTTCTTCGTTTGGTTTGGCGAAAGAAGTTTGTGATCGGTTTTAAGGAGGATCCGCAAATGCCACGAGCACATCACAAATTGGTCAGGCATCAGCTTCCACAGTCTGACAGTCCGCTGGCCAATGTCTGTGAGACGTTTGGGGACTCGAGCAAGATTGCAAGTGATAGGGAATCAACCACTTTGGTATCCCAGATTTCAGGTTATTGTCGAACATCGTCCAATTCTCCCAGATTGAAGGCTGCGGATAAGATCTGAGCGGGCTACAGACATGGCCCTCGCCAAGTTTGGGTGTGATTCTCCTTTTTGAGGTTACCCACTTTTGGGGTAGTTTTAGGAACCCAGAAGGAAGCCAACCATTTTCGGTGATTCCGGTATCTACCTTGTTTGAGACAAGCCAACTCTGACATAGGGCGTTCAGCATCGCCGATCCCCAAACCGGGCAAATCGCAGACAGCAGTCTTCTTTCTTTGTCAGGATTCCAAGGATCCTCTTTTTGTAGTGGTTTCGCTTGTAGTTGTGGGTTTCCCAATAAGGATTGCGGCTTAGGCGAATCGGGATCTCCCCCATTTTGCACCAGGACAGACCTACATTGGCGACCGGGAGCAGCGCGTCACCGTGCCGCTCCCGCCGGTTGCTGAGAAAATGTTTTTTGTTGGCGCAGGAAGGGAAGCATGCAAGAATGCCGGGCCTCATCCGGGCGAGTCCTGCTTCGTTTTTTTTTTTTTTTTTTCTTTTCCCCCCCCTTTTTTCTCCTTTTTTATTTTTAGAGGAAGACCATCCTAGAGAGGTTGCTGGATGTTTTTCCGCGCTTCTTTTTGTAGAGCTTTTTGTGTGGATCTTAATCTCGATTTCTAAGTGATGCCGATGCCACCCGCTTCTGAAGAGACTTGCCATCCATGTCTGGATGTTGAAATGGGTGTGTCGTTTGTTTCAGGGTACCCGTTTTTGGGGTGGTTTTAACGTAAAACCAAACGGACAACTACCATGTTGGGGGTCCCCCAAGAAAGATGCACCTAAATATGTTGGACAGTTGGACCGATTCAAAAGGCAGCCACCTCCTTCAAAAGCGCGCGCCAGAACGCGAGCGAGGGTGCGAGCGAACCAGCCAGCAAGCAAGCAAGCACGCAAGCATGTGAGCAAGCTAGACACGTTTGGAGTGTTTCCTTTTGGCCCCTCTATCATTTCGAATACAATTTGGTTAATCTTTGGTTTTGCCAAGGGTGGCTTTCGGATCGAGGGGCATCATACATTTTGAGGCACGGGCACTTTGGTGTTCAAGGCACTAGGCTTACCCGTGACAACACGGCACCCCCTCTGTTGTGTTGAAGGGGTGCGCAAGCAAGGCTTCTGGTCAGTCGGTACCCTCCTTGGTCCAAAGCTTCTTGGGTTCTCAGCCACTTGAGTTAGCTGCGCTTAACGGAACTGGTGATACACACCCACCCACCCGCCCGCCCGCCCGCCCGCCCATACCGCCGCCGCCGCCCGCCCCCCCATACCACCCACCCGCCCGCCGCCGCCCGCCCGCCCGCCCGCCCGCCCGCCCGCCACCTGTGCCCCACCCACCGCCCTTACCTGCCCCCACCACCCACCACCAACCACCACCCACCACCACCCACCACCACCCACCACCAACCACCACCACCGCCCACCAACCACCACCACCCACCACCAACCACCACCACCCACCACCCACCACCACCCACCACCACCCACCACCCACCACCACCACCACCACCCACCACCACCCACCACCACCCACCACCACCCACCACCACCCACCACCACCCACCACCAACCACCACCCACCACCAACCACTACCCACCACCACCCACCACCACCACCCACCACCGCCCACCACCACCCACCACCCACCACCACCCACCACCAACCACCACCCACCACCACCACCACCCACCACCACCCACCACCACCACCCACCACCACCCACCACCACACCACCCACACCACCCACCACCACCCCACCACCACCCACCACCACCCACCACCACCACCACCCACCACCACCCACCACCACCCACCACCACCCACCCACCACCCACCACCACCACCACCCACCCACCCACCACCACCCACCCACCCACCCACCCACCCACCACCCACCCCCCACCCACCCCACCCACCCACCCACCCACCCACCCCCACCACCCACCCCACCCACCCACCCCCACCCACCCACCCACCCACCCACCACCCACTACTTGGTCTTCTGATTGATTCACTGAGGCGCACCATTCAGGAGCTGAAGGGCCATGCCCACAAGCACTTCGGTGCGAAGCACACCTCCAGCAACCCCCTGCGCATGTGAGCCATCCGGATCCGGTCGGATCGATCCGGTCGGATCGGCCGGGCGTTGAAGCTAGTTCAGTTGGGGGTCTCTTTGGTGACTGTCTCTTTCAAGGGAAACCACCAGTTCCCAGATGTGCGCATATGCAAGCGCTTCAAGGCACTCCAAAATCCTGCTGTGCAGCATTCACGGGAGTTCATCAGTATTCCTGCCCCCACAATGACCATGGTAACTTGTCCCATGTGGGAAATATCATGTTTATGTGGTTTTCCTCAATGGTCATCCCATGTAAAGGACCTTTTGATCAACCCCAACATTCAAATTCTCCCCAACACAGGTGTCACAAAAAACCGCTCTGTTTGCATGCTCAAAAACGACTTGAGATTGCTGTCAAAGAATCCCAGGCGATGCCGAGTTTCGCGGCTTGGAACAAGAACCCTGAGCATCGCGGTTTCTGGGGGCCCATGCGGTATTCGGTCGCCGCTTCTACCCTGTGGATCAAAGCATGAACCATTTTGCGCGGCTTGTAACGCTCGTCTCCCTGCATAGGCGTGTGGAATGTGCGCGCTACTGAGCCATCCTGTCTCGCAGGTACCATCATGGCAAGGTGATGATCCATCATCCAAATCACATGACCAATGTGAAGGCCGCCGGTTGCGTCCCTCTGTGCAGATCTTTAGGGCCAGTGGTTGGTTCGCAAGTTTCGGTCTGATCTGCTTTTGGAGTGGTTTTAAAGAAGCTTGGTTCACACATTGTAAGTAAAATGCTTTGCAGAATGCTGAGTGCCAACTACAAATGCGAGTGCTGAGTTCAAAGGAGGGTCCTTCACAATTGTTGAGACACTTCCCCCTTTGGCACTTCTAGCTTGAGTCGCACCCTCTCTGGCTTGAGGGGGTGGCCAGACACTCGTCTTCCCTGGATCATTCGATCCTGTTTCCGGTCTAAAGGTTTGTGAAGAGGGGGCGCGTGCGCGGTGCGCGGACGAACGTTGCGTTGCCAGGATGAAGATGTTGTGGTTGTCACCTTGGGCGAGGATGACCAGGCCGTGCGGGCTGCCGGGGGGGGGGGGGGGTTGGGGATGGGGGATGGGGGATGGGGGATGGGATGGGGGATGGGATGGGGGATGGGGGATGGGGGATGGGGGATGGGGGATTGGTTCTAGGATTGGGATCATCAGGTGTTCTAGAACAAATTGCCACAATTGCAATTGAGCTCATCTTGACATCTGTTTTGTTTCTCGTTTTCTTTGAACCTTGCGCTTTGCTCTTTGTTATGCTCCTGCATCTTTTCGCATTTGTTCATATACTACCACCACCCAGGGCGGTAGGCAACACTCTCCGGCGGCCTTGTTTGCTCTTGACCAATTCCGCGCAGTAAGATTGACTTTTGTTTTTTGCTCTTCAGAATCACATTTGGGAATCCACCGGTAATGTTGGAAGCATCACAGTCACGGGCCCTTTCGAACAAGAGCGCGACTTGACACGTACTTTGGGTTGGTCCCCGAAAGACCATGTGACCGTTTTTTTTCTCCCATGTTAGGGGAGCCCTTCTTCCAAGCCCAGGCCGCGGGCCTGTGTTTTGACCTCCATTTTCGATGCCTGTTGGAGTCTGGGCGGCCCCGAACACAGGGCTTCCACTCCCCCCCTTTCCCTTCCCGGTGCCACGCTTTCGCGCAGGGGCCGCCGCCGGTGTCCACGCACCAAGCGCACTTCGTGCCGCACCCCCTGCAGGCGTTTAGGGGATCCAGGGATCCAGGGCGTGGTTTCCATTTGGAATGCATTTGAAATCCTGTGGGGGGGGGGCAAGGAGACCGCAATGCTCAGATGCAGGCAGTTTTCTTCCAAGCCGCGAAGCTCCGCATGGCCCAAGGATCTTTGCCAATGTCAAGCCTCTTTTCGGCCAAACGGAGCGGTGTTAGCTTCTAACACCTGTGTGTGGGGCGGGAATGGGGGGTGGGGGGGCGGGAGGTTTGTCAACCGCGCCAAAGAATATTGGGGCCCGTGATAGATGGGATGACCCATCAGGGGAACCACCCTAAAAAGATACACATTTTACCACATGGAACAAGTCACTCATGGTCATTTGGAATTCCAAGTGCTTATGAGGATATTTTTTCAGTGGGTTTCGGTTTGTTGGTTTTCTGTCTTAATGATTTTGTTGACTTTTCTTTGGTTTTTCGGTTGGGTTTGCTTTCCATTTGCTTTGATGATGAGGTTTTCAATTTGGTTTTCTTGTTTGTGGTGCTGCGACATTTTTTACCTCTTTGGCCTTCACACAGAATTGACCCTAGAGAAGAGTCAAGTGCTAGGGTCCCCGGGTAAACTTCGCCCAAGTTGTTGGTGGCTACTCTTTGAGAGCCAAGTGGCTCGGTTTGGCGCGCTTTTTGAACGGAGAGTTAGTGCAGTTTTCGATTGGATTTGAGTCAATGCAGGAGGGATTCATAAAGGGACTGCGCCCAAATGCTTGGATTCGTCCGTCGGCTCCGCAGGCGAAAAAGCCTCCAGCGGGGACTGATGGACCCAGAGAGAATGTGCCGCAGGGGACTTCAGTTTGACCCAGGATTTCTAGGGGTTGATTCCCCATTCACAAGCCAGGGATTTTGAAATGACAGGCCTTGTCTCCGGATTGGTCATGTGTCAATTGGCCAGTGCCGAATAGCTGCCCTGCGTGAGGCGACTGTGCAAAGGTATTGGGGCGCTGGGGACGCCTTTTGAGTATTGACATGTTTACCTCAGATTCATGCACCAGTTTGTTGATGGGGGGGAGGAGTGTGGACCACGGAAGAAGCCATAAATCGGTTGCATGTGAACCTTTTCGAGGTTCGACGGGAAGTCCAGCTACAACGTGGACTATATCCCCCACCCGCTGCAGGCCGAATTCCGCGTTTTCTTCTTTTGGTGAAGTTTGTGTTTGTTCTCAGCTTCCCAAATCAGGGGTTTGGAGTTTGGATGCGGACCTTCCCCCCCCCCCCCCGCTTTCGTTTGAAGCCGAGACACGGCTTTTGAGCGAGAGAATCCGAGTCAAGGCTTCTGGTTCGCCCTGGTCCCAGCTTTTTGTTTTTCCCCTTTGATCCACAGGCCAAGTTTTTTGTAGCTAAGGACCTGGTTTTGGGGCAACCATAACCATTCAGATTTGGGGTCATTGGTGCAACCATTCAGATCAGCGCAATGCTGGGTTGCGGCCCGCAAAAGTGGGCGCTGAGAATCGCTCCCGTTGGCCTTTGTGGTAAAGGACCCCCTCTTCTCTTGATTCCCCCATTTCGATTCCCGCACATTTTCCTGGACTAAGCACCACGCACAAGTTTCCATCGCAGGGCCGAGACTCTGCGAAGCCGCCCCGGGACGGCTGGGAGCCCGGGAAGCAGGGGTGCCCAGATTGGGAACCTCATCGAAGGGGGGGGGGGTTGGCTTTGGTGCTTCTGGGGTCCGAAAAAGGGGGGGTTGGCAGCGCCGGGGGTTTTCTTGCAGCGGGTGGTTTTGTTTTGTTGTTTTCCCGAAAGCATGGCGAAGGGTTCTTCCGCTGGGTTCACTTGAGTTGTCATTCTCATTGCAAGGAGTCATTGCAAGGAGTCATTGCAAGGAGTCATTGCAAGGAGTCATTGCAAGGAGTCATTGCAAGGAGTCATTGCAAGGAGTCATTGCAAGGAGTCATTGCAAGGAGTCATTGCAAGGAGTCATTGCAAGGAGTCAAGGAGTCATTGCAAGGAGTCATTGCAAGGAGTCATTGCAAGGAGTCATTGCAAGGAGTCATTGCAAGGAGTCATTGCAAGGAGTCATTGCAAGGAGTCATTGCAAGGAGTCATTGCAAGGAGTCATTGCAAGGAGTCATTGCAAGGAGTCATTGCAAGGAGTCATTGCAAGGAGTCATTGCAAGGAGTCATTGCAAGGAGTCATTGCAAGGAGTCATTGCAAGGAGTCATTGCAAGGAGTCATTGCAAGGAGTGCAAGGAGTCATTGCAAGGAGTCATTGCGAGCTGCGCAGAGTGCAAGTTGCGCAAGGAGTCAAGGTTTCAAGTGCAAGTGTGCAAGTTGCAAGCGCATGGAGTCAAGTGCAAGTTGCAAGTGCATGGAGTCAAGTGCAAGTTGCAAGTGCAAGGAGTCAAGTGCAAGTTGCAAGTGCAAGGAGTCAAGTGCAATTGACTTGCGAGGAGTTAAAATCTCTTCTTAGGGCGGCGGGGTAGTGCCGACGACACTACACGAAAATCGACCCTCTGCGGGGATCGGCCTGGTCGAGGTGCAAAAACCCATGGTTTTTTGCGATTTCTGCGGTGCTCGCGCGACCCTCTGCGGGGATCGGCGTGGTTGAGGTGCAAAAACCTATGGTTTTTTGCGATTTCTGCGGTGCTCGCGCGACCCTCTGCGGGGATCGGCGTGGTCGAGGTGCAAAAAACCCATGTTTTTTTTTGCGATTTCTGCGGTGCTCGCGCGACCCTCTGCGGGGATCGGCGTGGTCGAGGTGCAAAAACCCATGGTTTTTTTGCGATTTCTGCGGTGCTCGCACGACCCTCTGCGGGGATCGGCGTGGTCGAGGTGCAAAAACCCATGGTTTTTGCGCAGGGCTCCTTAAAAGATACATTTTGCCCATTTGAAACATGGCTTTTTCCACCAAAATAAAGCGACACCGCCGTTTACAAGGCAATGTTCAGGTGTATAATGTAAGGATCCCTGTTGCGATTTCTGCGGTGCTCGCGCGACCCTCTGCGGGGATCGGTGTGGTCGAGGTGCAAAAACCCATGGTTTTTTTTTGCGATTTCTGCGGTGCCCGCGCAACCCTCTGCGGGGATCGGCGTGGTCGAGGCGCAAAAACCCATGGTTTTTTTGCGACTTTTTGTTGTTCGAACTGGTCCTCGGGAGTTGTCTCGTGGTTCGAGCGCCTGCTCCCGGAACCGGCGGGTCGCGGGTTCGATTCCTCCCTGGTCCGCGGGCGGCGTCGCAAGATGCAACTTGCATTTTAAAGCAACTTGCGCAGAGCAACTTGCGCAGAGCAAGTTGCACAGAGCAACTTGCGCAGACCAACTTGCACCAACCAGTTTGCGCAGAGCGCCTTGCCTAGAGCAACTTGCGCAGAGCAACTTACGCAGAGCAACTTGCACAGAGCAACTTGCACAGAGCAGCTTGCGCGCAGCAACTTGCAGGGAGCGCAATTTGCACAGAGCAACTTGCAGGGAGCCACTTGCAGGGACCAACTTGCCGGAGCAACTTGCGCGGAGCAACTTGCGCAGAGCAACTTGCGCAGTGCAACTTGCGTGGAGCAACTTGCGCAGACCACCTTGCCTGGCATCCCCTCCATGTGGCTGTGGTTGTCAAAACCCATTGGTAGGTGAATTCACCACCCATTTTAGTCTATTTTGGTAGGTGCACCACCCATTTTAGTACCTATTCTAGTGGTTGGATTGGTTGATGCTCACTCGGGGTATGTGGATTTTGACCCGTGGCGTAAGTTTGGATCCTCTACTTTTCGCCACTGACTTCTTGGACTCGAGGAACGGCCGGACTGGCAAGAGCACCTATGCTGCCGAGTTCCCATGGTCCCTGGCTCAGAGCTTGCAAACCTTTGGGCCTTTGGGCGCTTGGCTATGGCCCAGAAAAAGCAAGGCCATGCGTATGGGGGGATGTTAGAAAGGGAGTGGTGTGCTTTCGGTTTCTCTTACCTACAAGGTACTCTCATGTCCCAGTGGCTTTGGCTAGCCTGAGGCACACGGCCAAGCCGCCGGAGAAGGGTAACAAGCAGGCCGGACGGATGGGTTTAAGCCGAATTCGCTCGTTTTTTTTTTTCAATTCGCCCTTCAGTGCAACACTTCAACACCCTTGGTATTTGGTGTGGCTTTGGCTCCGTTCCTTTTTGGTGGCTGCAAAGAAGTATATTTGCGAGCAGCCAGGCGTTGGGACGGAAATCGGTGGGGAACGCAGGACGGGTGGGAGTTTACATGGGGTGCGTGTATGTGCAAAGAAAGGGATAGTCGCGGGGAACTGCTTTCTGGCAAGGTGGGGCCACGTTTCAAGTTTTGGTCTTGCCATCGGGAAGGGCCAGTGGCCTTCTAGAGAAGCATAGCCTTTCTAAGAACCCCACGGTTTGTTTTCTTTTAGGACATCTCCTGTCATTCTCCTTTCTCCTTTGTGGGACCTCTCTCTCAGACACCCAATAGCTGTTGCCGCTTTTGGGGCCTGATCCCCCCCTAACAAGAAAACGTCGCGCACTTAGTTGCGCTGAGCGAGTCGCAAAGACAAGGACCTCGCTCTC